TGCAAAAGGCAGCGCCTTTCACCATCCTTTAAAATTATACTTGTTTCCTACTATGCGTCTGCACATTTCCCTGCAGAATTCCCGGCTTCCCACATGTAATAGAGAATGCACCAGCACCTCCGATCCCATGAAAATCCGCCCCATCACGGAAGAGCTGGAGGACAGAGGACAAGGTGTGACGATGAAACCTGCTCATGACCCGAGAGCGGCAACGATGACGTCCTGCCCGGCTGCTTCCCGATGGATCCTCTTCAGGGGACTTCTCCCCTCCTGCAAGGCTTTAGCATTGGAGCAAATGACCCTTCCGCTTTCCGAATGTCTCCGGTGCTATGGACCTGCTCCTGTAAAGTCTGGCAGCTTCCCAGGCAAAGGAAGCTCCGGTGCCAATTTCTTAATAAGCCTCCGCAGGCACCGAAAACGTTCGCGTTTATTCACCCGGGCGCTTCGTGAACGAGCTGTTAAACACACAGTTAACTTGGTTCCCCTGTGCAAAGACCTGAGCAGTTTCCCTACCAGCAGAGCTCTTGCTAAAATCAGGCTAGAAATCGATCCTGGAGATTTCCTGACCTCTTTTCTGAAAGGTGCTGGGGCCAGATCCCAGTTGGAGCCTGCATGAGCCGACCGGAATTCCAAAAAATTAACTACCATGAGAACCTAAACTCCAACCCAGTGCTTTCATTGTCTTGTTTTCCTTCCTATCTTGGTTATATCTCAGATGGAAAAAGGAGTGAGGAGGTTATCCCGAATGGAGAAGAGCTGCAGAGCCAAACCCTGGCCAGGCTCCGGTCATGGACTTGCAGGCCCAGCCCTCGGCACGGCGCGTTCGGCCTTCTGAAACGGAACCGACGCCAGAAGGACCCGTCTCTGGAGGGGCCGCGGTTGTGGTCAGCTCTGTGTCACCTCTACAGCTACCAGCTCCTACAACTGCACTGAAGCAACAGGCAGATTCAGGCACAATGAGGAGCTCTCTTGGGAGCAAGAGAATCGAGTTACTGACCTCAACTTCGAACCATTGCTGCCACCTACCTCAGCTTATTTGAAATGCACAACGTTTCATCTGGAATTTTCTATGTCCTTCCCACCCCGATGCCCCCAAACCCAAACCGAGGCGGTGGGATCAGAATACCCGGAACGGCCCAGCTAGGGCTGGGAATTCGGGATGCGGCCGGCACGGAGAGCCCCACGCGCTGCCCCGCTCTGTCCCTGCTCCCAGCCCTGGGTCCTCCTGCTGAGCGGGTTTTATTTCCCTACCCTGATCCTTGCTCTGTATTCTGTGACCTAAAGAATTCCCTAAAGCCCCGGAGCTCCCACCTGGCACAGAAGGGCCGGGCCTGCTTTCCGGAGAAATTTTTTCTGGTCTTTTCCAGGGATCCTCGAGACATATGGCTGGATGCAAGATGGTAACTTTTCCTTTGAAATGAGAGGCAAACTACTAATGAGAGAGGGGCTTCTGGGGCCAAGCTGGGTTCCAGAGGAGATGCTATCCCTGCTCTGGCCGCACTGCCATGGTGTAACGTGCTAGAGAACACGAGTCTGTTCTTCAGAACTGCATGATACCCAGTGAAGCTATTGGGGAGTAAGAGGGAAGCTATTATTTTTCTCACAAACTGTCAGCCTCAGCCTCAGACCAAGTTTTGACTTGCACTGTGTGAATCCAGGTGAAAAAAAAAAAGGATTCATTTTAGCATTCAGATAGTATTTCATAGAACATGAGCTTACCGAATTGCCAGGCTAAAAAACTCCATCCGGAATGAATCACTGGTCAGATGAACCCAACAGGAGGATATTTGACTTGACATAATCTCCTTTTCAAGTTACCGCTTCACTTTTGCTGTGTACTTCAAGCTGTTATTAGCAAGCAACAGTGCTAATACCCAAATTCAGCTGTTAATGGCACCTGCTACCAGAACGTTTTGTGGCAGTCCTACCTTGTACTGGGTAATATTATCTTCATTGGCAAGTTCCCCCCAGCAATTAAAATGCTGGCATATTCATACAATTAAATGGGGGGATAAGAAGGGATAGGTCCTAAGTGGAAATGTAACTGGTAAAAAGAACCCAAGAGCTGCTGAGAAGAGCAGAGCTGATGCAGAACCAGCAGGAGGAGCTCAAATCCTGCCCAGTGCAGATAACGAGGGTCGGAGCTTCCCCGGCCTCTCCTGGGAAGGGTGCAGTGCACCAAGACTTCGCTCCGCGTTACCGTGGGAAGAGCCTTCCTCAGGCTTCCCACAGGACAGACCCTGCCGTGCCGGAGCAGCAGAAGTGCTAAGGGAGAGACCCCGTGGCGGAGCGGAGCCTTCCGCAGCCGTGCAGGAACACGAGGCGCCTCTTCTCGCCGAGCCCTTTGCGACCAGGCGCTGCTTTCCGCCTCTTCCCAAAGCTCCTTCCTCTAGCGTACCCATCAATCTCGCTATAAAACTGCTATGGAAAAGCAAAGGTAAACTCAATAACCCCAGGGTACCATTCACAACTTCTGACAGCTTATCAGCACGTCGACTTGTTTCTCTTTGAGTGCATTATCTCAGCATCACACCTCGTGCATTTATCCTAAAACAATGATCATTACATCATTATTTTGGGTGCAATCTCTGACTTAGCTCCATTCTGTTTGTGTCTGAGTTGTTTGGGATTGAGGATTGCAGCCATACTTAGGCTTAGCTAAACTCACTGACTGTGTGTTAACTCCTAACCTGAAGTAAAGGAAATAAGTCTCCCCCTAAAGTTGGCCCAACTCTGACCTGAATCTTTGGAATATTATTACCAACTTATTTTCCCAATAGTTTGCACATATTAAACTTGCAGATATTTTAATACTAATAATAGCTGTAATTCCTAGTTCAACGTGACTATTGATACTGAAAAATGACAAAAGAATAATCAGTAGAAATGATTGCTAGGTATCTAACTCCCATATATTTCAAAACAGGCAGCTAATGAGGAGGAAGAAACCTTGGAACAGCTTGACCTGGCTCCCTGTGGGCTGGAGTTTCAGGTAAATGATACAGGTAAATGCAGCTCTGCTCAGCCCCCTGGCCCTCGGCGGTGCCAACGCCGCCGCTCCAGGCGCTGCCATCGCTCTGAGGCCCGAGATTTGCGAAATCAAGAAAGGCAGAAAATGACAAGCGTCCTCGGAGAGGTGGCCCTGCCCTCGCTCTTCCTAGCGGCTGCCACGGAAGGTATTTGGCCCCTTGCAAACAGGAAAATACAACGTATTTACTACGGGGTTAGAAAAAAGCAGCGGCAGAGCTGGTCCTGCTCCACACCTAGTGCTCCTGGCCACACCTCACTATTAGAATATGAAAAGGAGGAAAAAAAAACAACCGAAAAGGAAAGCGATCTGGTATGCGGCTGTGATCCCAAATCATAACAACAGTGTGTGCAGGCTCATAAATGCTTCGGAATTGACCAAGAGGAAGCACGTTTCACGATGACACAATCTTGTTGCTGTAGTCATTCATCGCAGGGAACTCCCACAGGAAAAGGCATAAAGGTGCTCGGGGAAGGCTACGAGGCGGCTCAGTGAGCGCGAGGCAGGGAAACACTGGGTTGGATCCATAGCCGAGCTAACCATGAGCAGCAGCCAAGGCCCTTTCCAGTTTTTTCCTGGGTCCCTGCGGGGTAGTGCAGGGTGTGGTTTGGCCCAGCACGGGAGCTCGTACAGACCTTCCAGCGCCGACGGTGCTGCCAGCAGCACCCAGGGCTCCTTCTCCTCCGCCAGATCCCTCTGGCTGGCTCCTGCGTCCTGCGGAGGCTTCGGCGAGCGCCATGGGGACAGCATCTTCCTGGGGGGGAGCGAGAAGGAGACCATGCAAAACCTGAACGACCGTTTGGCCGCCTACCTGGACAAGGTCCGTGCCTTAGAAGCAGCCAACGCTCAGCTGGAAAGCTGCATCCGAGAGTGGCACAAGACAAAGTCGCACAGCAAGAGGCATGACTTGAACCAATACGAGCAGAGCGTCACCGACATGCAAAGACAGGTAAGGGGGAGCTCCAAGGGTCTACGTCGTTCCACATGCCGGGTATTCATTTGAGTGGACGGGTAGCCTTTAAAAGAAACTTCATAAAACCTTTTACATGCTCGAAATGCTAATGAAAAGGGCATAGACACCCTTTGTGTTCACAAGGAGGAGAATGGGGTATAAGAGAGACAAGCTGGAAGCAGACAAAGGGGATTCTGCAAGGACTGCTAGGATAAAGGGATTTATATGCTGCCAAGTGTTCCTTTCTGAACACGGGAGCGTGGTTGGGGCAACGAAGTCTGGCAGAATTTGGTCTTTTTGACTGTACGTGCATTCAGCAAATTACAAAGCAGGCGAAATGAGGAGCCTGCCTCTTTCATGCCTGCTGCCTTTAGACGTCCTCTTGTGCTTTATTCCTTTGATTCCTGCGGCAGCAGACAATGAAACTGCAGGACTTCTAGGTCCAAGCAGCTTATGTAACCAGATGGAAAAATACTTCGTTGTAATTAAGAAAATAGCAGCGACAAATTCCTTTGGATGTTTTCACTGTAATTAAAAGGAGAATTTCTAGTTCTTGCCAATACTTAATATTAACATTCAGCAGTAACCCTTTCATTCTCCCAAACTCACGTGTCTTCAAATTTAAGCATAATATTAACTGGTATTCCTAATGAACATTCTTAGCACTGTAACCGTCTCGGTGACGAATCTGAGCAATTAACTTTACGCAGCCATCCGAGGCGAAAAGCAAAGTCATTCCATAAGATGAAGCTGCAGCTTCCCCCCGTTTCCAACACGGGGATTTGGCTTTCTCAAGCCCCTGAGATTTCTTTTTTCAAAAGGGCTCGGAAATGGCATCGTCTGGCACCTCCGCAGAGCGAGGTCAGGCACTCGATGAAGCTCTCTCCTCATGGTAAATGTGTTGCCTGCAGGCAGGAGATGAGGCACTCTGACCACAGCCGATGCGCAAGGAATTGTCATCACCTATTTCTCTTTTAAGGATAAAGAAAGGTCATCAATCTGCAGACCTGCCACTTCAGCACTTCTTTTTTTAGCTGATCCAAAGATAAATATTTGCTCTCCAACAGTCTAAATGAGTTCACGCTCACTTGGAATTAATAAATCCCAAACACTTAGGAAGACGGGGGTAAAGCCCACACTTTGGAATGGGCCCTACGTCTCCTTTCCGGCGCCCCGTGATCCCGAGCACCGGTTCAGCCCCAGCACGTGTTCAACGTGCTGCTCATGCGGGGAGGAATGGGCCATTCAAGGATAATTTACAGGGTACAAGTCAGTGATTTAACCGAGAATGTTTACTTTCTCTATAAATTAGCACAATTATTGCCATGTCTGCCAGTAAAATGAGCAAAAATATAACATATAATTATTAAACATAAACACACTAGTTAATAACATGAAATATAGGGAGAGTGATTTAGCACCTGAAATGAGTATTAGAGTGAATTTAGGATCCTATATCCAATAACCCAGGAAGTCCATGACACAGTGACTGACTAAACTTCGAGACAAACTCACCCTGGACCTACATTGGGAGGACACTTTTGCCTGGACATCTGAACTCGTGATGAGCAGGGCAGTTACTCTCAGTTTCCACCTTCTACAGCAAAATTCAGCATCTTGGAGGATGGGTTTTCTGCTACCATGCTCCAGGCAGGGTAGCGCTTTAGCTCCTCGGCTGCCCTGGATCTTGGCCCAAGGCGATACCCAAGGTCTGCTGGTAATTGCTTAAGAATGAACAGCTTGTCCCGTCCTCCTGATTAGTTAATACATTCCACAACACCTCCTTTTTTACCAAGAGAAGTCAACTTTTGACACTTCTGGATAATTCTGTCATTTCCTGGTTCCTTTGTGATTCATTTAGGTGTGGAAAGTTCTGCTGAAGGGTGCTGAGGGCCCTCTAAATGGCAGGTGATTTCTCTGTGGCCGTAACCCTCCCTGTTCTGCTAACGTTGAATGCAGGCGCCTGTTAGATCCACAGCCTTGCTGCTTCTGCCTCTTCAGGAAAGGAAGACATGGCACCCCCACATTATTAGCTCCTCCTAATTACAAGCAAGGTACTTTCAAAGATGTGAATGGAATATCCAACTTTTCATATTCCAATCTATGGACCAAAGCTACTTCATGTTGATAAGGAATTCAAAGTCTTCTCGGTGCACACCGAGCATGCTGCATGAATGATGTGATGCACTTTGTCCTGCAAAGCTGCTTCTTAGGGCAAGCTTCAACACCACAAAGCACCATTATGAATTCCAGTAGTTTAATTGTACTCAGATACAGCTGAATGTTTCTCACTGAAATCTGCCCTGAAGATGACTGCGGCTGCTCCTCCTGCAGTGCTGAACAGAATCAAAATCACTGTGCAAAAAAGCAGCGAGTGAGTGACTCTTATTCTACAATATACAATAAAATGTGCATAGCACTATTCATATTCCCTACCAGGCTAGCAATAGATGGCTCTTCCTACATCATTTCCAGAAAAGGAAGAACAAGAGAAAAGTAAGATTATGGGCAAAAATTGTGGTAGCATCTAAATAAATCTTGAATCTAAGATGTTTTTATTCACCTACTCTCCTTACCATGGGACTTGTGCTTTCAGAAGCTGATTCTAAATCTATTCAGACAACCCAAGCAGCAAAGTTTATTCGCCCTCTCTTTACCCCATCACTGAGTCTGTTGCTGGATTCTTGGTTTTGCAGATTGAGGATGGCAAGATCACCAACGCCAGCATCCTCCTGCAGATCGATAACGCTAACATGGCATCTGAAGACTTCAGGCTCAAGTAAGTTCTTCTTTGGTTTCCTGATTAAGTTTGAAAGAGGACTAAGGAAAATAATTCTTTCTGTTTTCTTGGCCAGTATGAAAGTGCTTTATCTGGGTTTTTGTGTGTGTCTTATGGAATATATAAAACACAGAACAAAAACAAAATCAAAAAGGTAAGAAAGGATGTTCAAAACACAAATGTTTGGTGAACAATCTTGAGTCACCCTGTTTATGATACTTAGTTCAGGTCCTGAAGAGCAGGTTTTACTGCAGACACTTAATACTTATGACAAAAGGTATTTAAAGATTATCAACTGGGAATACAAATCAACCCATCTCTGCCTCATATGCTTCCCCGGTCCAGCCAAATCTTTCTGCTTCCTGCAGTTATCTCTTCCATCCCGCTCCACGGGAAATCCCTACCCTTCAGTGTCTTCTCTTTTGGACTCTCGGAAGTTTTGCCCCAGTAACGAGCCAGTTTCCCAGCTATCAGCACACGCCTTCGTTGCTCAGGACAGCACGGAGAGAAGCCAAGATGTTTAATGTAATCATTTGTGTAAGTTGGACTTCTCAGCAGTCCCGTCAGTTGTCTGATGTGGAGCAGACCGAGCTATTGGAACATGTCCCAGCCCTTGGGAATCTCCTACGAGGTTTGGCTGCCCGCGCAGCCCATGGTCACTCCGTGGCGCAGCACCTGCCTGGCCGGTCTGCGCGTGCTCCCGACGGGCCGCTCTGCGTGACGGCCACGTTCAGAAACGAGCCCCATCTACTGAAGGAATATAGAGACATACGAAATATTAAAGAAATAAAGGGAGATTTTGAGTTTGAGAGAAAAAAAGTGCTCCTTTTGCCCAAGGGAAGATGTGGCAGCGTTTTTCTGACTTTGTCATACCTTGGCAAACTGCAGGAGGTTATAGACATCTGTTAATAACTGATGTCTGCAGCCTTTTCCCTGCTTTCTGTAGGACTGAAAAGTGATCATTTTGGGGAAAAAAAAAAACCTACAGAAAGCAGTGATGGTGGATGTGGATTGGACATCTCTATCAGCAAGCTTTTGAGACTCACAACCTCACGAATGCTAAGATGCAAACAAGAAAATAAAACGTTCATTCTTCCTTGTCATAGAGGAGTTGTTGTGAGGAGGAAAGAAAAAGATCTTACTTTTAAAATTACCCAAGAATTATGAACGAACATCTTCTAAAAGGAGGATTTGTCTCCTTGCTTTTCTGCTCTCCTTACGAGAGGCCCCAGGCACCTCCTGGCCGGAGGAGAGGGCTCTCACCGCGCTCCTCCTGCTCCCTCCTGGTGCAGGTACGAGGCAGAGCGGTCCCGCAGGCAGGGAGTGCAGTGCGACGTGGAGAACTTGCGCAAGGAGCTCGACAACCTCACCATCGTGACGACGGATCTGGAGATGGAGATCGAAGGCTTGAGAGAGGAGCACATCCTCCGGAGGAAAGACCATGAGGAGGTAAAAAAAGTGCCACTTGCTAAAATCATATCATGGAAATCTTCACTACCGTGTAATTAGCTTTGAGTAAGATCCACAATCTATAAATGGGAGAGATGATTCAGAACCCAATCAGGTTTCAGAAGAAACCAATGAGAATAGATGAGACGTGAGGTTTGTTTTCTACTTCAACAGTTAAACTGGGATTTCAGAAAGGAAAATAAACTACTGTTTTCTTCCAGAATCAACTCCTTGAGTCTGGAACTCTGGATATATCATTTCTGTGGACAGGTCTTGGGAAAATCTCTTTCTTTAAAGTTGGAAATTCAGGGTGGTAGGGCCAGACTAAACGTGCCTGCCCTTAAGCACATCCCCAAAGCGTCTGCTCCTGTCCGTTGCTAGAAATAAGATGCAGGGCTAGGTGGAGTTTTGATCTGAATATATCCATGTGGATATTAAGACACATAGGGTCTTTCTGCTCTGGATTCTTACAAAGCCGTAATATTCCCACACATATTTTACCACTGCTTGAAAACACGCTGCTTTGGTTTTGCTTGACCTGGTGTCATTTTCAGGTGCAGAACCAAGAATTCTACTTGCGTTTGTGGCTTATTAAAAGGGGGAACAGAAATCCAAGGGTTACGTAGCCGCAGCAGAGACTTTCCTTGGCTGATCCCTTTGCAGACCACGGGATAGTTAGAGCAAAGCAGCTCCTGGAAGCAGCAGAGACATCGGGGTGTCCAGTCGATCTGCATTTCAGAGCCCGTGATGTCACTACCCTGACATGATCCTGGTGTCTCCAAAATGGTACCTGGTGCACAGGATTATGCTACTCCGAAAGGAATGTGACCGCACCAGTCTGACTTGTTTTGTAATTATGTTGTTTACACAGTAATTATATGTTTTAATCCAATTATTCCCTTAACAATTACACAGAACTGACTCTCCTGTAAACTTAGTTATGGTTCCATAAATATTAACATAGAGGGTAAGAAAGATGAAATTACTGTTAGGCTTACATGAAAGGCTTAGGTTCCTAGCAGATAAGTAATTATAAAATGTCAGTGCTGCTTCTTTGCATATGTATCTTCCAGAAACTTTGTAACAGAAATTGGAAACATCTCCCATGTTTTTAATTTCTCTATCATGCTTCTGCCACGGAAACACATGTAGGTTATGGGTTTAACTTATGTCACAGTATTAGCCATATATGAAATTTCCAAACTGTGTTAACTGAATACGTATAACAATCATCCCACCAGAAAGGAAAAAACACGTTGTGCATTTTGAGAGGATGGAAGTGAAGAAGGCAGGACAGGAATGAAGACTGTTCCCCTTCTCATGAGTGACCTTGCTTGTCTCCCCTGTTATGCGTAGGATATGGATGCACATCGCTCATCGCAGGACTTCAAAGTCAATGTCAAGGTAAATGCTACTCCACCCGAAGATTTAGCCAAGATTCTAGCAGGAATAAGAGAAGATTATGAAGCTATAATTGAGAAGAACCGTAAAAGCCTGGACAATTGGTACAGAGAACAGGTAACAGCTATTTTCTGATCGTTTTGCAGATCCCTGTTGCCATACGAGACCATCAGTGAGCTTTCCCCTTGCTTTTGCTCCACAGAGCACAGCTATGTCTCTGGCAGCAGTTCCTAATCCAGAGCAGCTACACAACAGTGAGAACGAGATCAAGGATCTAACACGTACCCTCCAGTCCCTGGAGATCGAGCTGCAGGCGCAGATGAGTAAGGTATCTGTTGTAGACATCTCTGCCTGGTCATCCTTACTTCACAAATTCTCAGAGTTGCCTTGGATCAGCTCTGTATTTATATCCATAGCATATCACATAGCATCATTTTAATGCAATTATTACGGTATAAGTGAAGCTGCAATTTGGTCCACGCTTGACTTTGCCCAAATCTGCAAAATACATTGAGCAGCTGTCACCAAGATGCAACAGAAGTACATGTCTCTCCACCAGTGCATGGAGAGAAGAGAAAGAAGGGACCGGATAGCTGATTACATGATCTGGATGGAAAAAATGTCCAGAAAGAGAGATAGTTACACAAATTTCCTATTGATAACCCCTATGCTATGCATGAAATACATGAACCACGAGAAATATTGACCATCTCCTACAGATGAAAGCTCCCAGAGCCATAATTTGGAGACTCTGGAGAAGTTTTATATAACAGGTATTTAAACGACCACAGCTTTCTAGCTAGAGATCAGATTTGCTGGCATTTCTGCACTATCATGTCACATAAATAGTAACTGTAGAATTGGCCTTTTCTGCTCTGTCAGAAACACATGCTGGAAGACACCCTGGCTGACACCCGGAACTACTACGCTCTGGCACTTCAAAACATGCAACGGATCATCTCCAAGTGTGAGGAAGAGCTAAACCAGGTTCGTCAGGACATCAAGCACCAAAATAACCAATATAAGGTTCTTCTTGGGATCAAAAGTCGTCTGGAGAAGGAAATTTCCACTTACCGCCGGCTGCTGGAGGGGAATGTTGTCGGGTAAGGCAAATCTGCCCTGACTGGTACAGATGAGAAGAGACTTCTCATATTCAGGTTCTTTGTTTGTTTGTTTATGTTTAATCGAGGCTTGTGAGTTCCACAACATCATATGAAGGGCTGGTATTTTAATGTGATGGATCATGATAAAAAGCCTGAGGATAGCCCAAAGTACTGGGCTCTTCCTCAGAAGAGAAAATGGGCCCAACCTGAGCGATCCGCCACGTGGGGAATGCTGCATAATCCCACAAGAGAAGCAATAATCCAAGCCTAAGGGAAGGGCTTCAGGTGAGGGGAGAGGAGTAGGAGACTACAGAAGAAGAAAAGTTCTCAGGGTACAAAAAGGTCCCGTTTGTTTGTTTGTTTTTATTCGTTTTCATATTGGTGCGCGCTCTCCTCAGAACATCACTGAGATGAAGGGGATGAGTAACTACTTCAAATGAGTACCCTCATTTTGCCTCCATTTCATTTCTTTACAGGACAAGAACATCTGAATCAAACACTAAAGGTAACAGTCTCTTACTTGGCTCTCTATAGTGAATTTTTAAGTTGTTTTGTCAGTTCTAACCAAATTTAACTCGGAATGATTTGCCTCTGCACAAAGGCAGTGGGGAAGGTTTATGTGGAGTTAAGTCTGGCTCCGCACGCCGCCTCCCGCCACTGAAACACAGTGTCCCAAACCCCGGCCAGCCTAAAGCTTCGTGGGGCACGAGGGCGCGCGGTGACTCCGCTCGGTGACTAAACCGGCTTCTCCCGAGCCGCAGAAAGCTGACTCCCTACAGATGGGAGTCACGCCGCACTGCAAGGGCTTGAGGGCAACAAGAAAATCTGCATGTCTGGAAACTTGTGCTCCAGGATGAGTATGACCCACAGACATTTAATCAGGCAGATTAATCTGCTCCGAAATTGGATTTGCACTGGCTGGGATGCGGCGGATTATTCATTTGCCCTGACCTGGACAGGGCCTGGGTAACTTTCTGGCAGCACGTTTCACCAAGAGCAGTAATAAGGGAAACATGGAGAGATAAAGGGAAACATGGAGCAAGAAATCAGAGAATCATAGAATCCTTAAGCTTGGAAGGGACCGCTAGGGATCATCCAGTCCAACCCCCTGCACACGCAGGGTCACCTAGAGCACGTGGCACAGGGCTGCGTCCAAGCGGGTTTGAAGATCTCCAGAGAAGGAGACTCCACAACCTCTCTGGGCAGCCTGTTCCAGTGCTCTGGCACCCTCACTGTCAAGACATTTTTCCTTAAGTTCCTGTGGAACTTTTGGTGCTTCAGTTTGTGGCCATTACCTCTAGTTCTGTCGGTGGCCACCACTGAAAAGAGGCCAGGACCATCCTCCTCACTGCCTCCCTTGAGGTACTTCTAGACACTGCTCAGGTCCCCTCTCAGCCTTCTCTTCTCCAGCTGAACAGGCCCCATCGCGGGTAGCTGGTACATTGTGCAAATGAAACTCCGGGCACCACCTCTCCTCAGCACTGCTTCGTGCCTCACTCATCCTTTGTTTCCCTCAGAACACGTGGGGCTGCCCAACCACAAGCTCAGAGCCATCGTGCACGACAGCGTCAACGGGCAGGTCGTGGCCTCCACCGTCAACGAGATCCAGCAGCAGGCGTGAGCGCGCGGGGCCGGATCGCACCGAACTCCTGCAGCGAATGATCTGCAGGCCATAACGAGAAGTTCTGTACGTAGCTGATAGCGTGAAGAGCTTAATCCACAAAACGCTGAAGACAAACTTGTCCATGAGAATGACTGGCTGAGCTGGTAATCCTTGTATTATGTACACCTCACCAGGGCATGGATCTGCACCTGCGACTCATTTATTGCTCTCCAAATTAACTATAATTTAAAATGAATAATCTCTCTACTTTTCTATGGTCTTATGTTTCTTATCATATACCTCACTGCAGCCAATAAATTCTTTTCCATTACTTGTCTTGGAATTTCTGGTTTGCTTTCCACGGAGTGTGCGCCAGGCTGGCGTGACGGCGCTAACGAGTCCAAGGGACTACAAAGGCCGCATTGTTTTAGCACACGTGGAGCTGCAAGGACGTAAATGAGAACAAAAGAGGTGACACAAGTAATCAAGTGGTACACTACTACACCTGGCATTTATACAAGCAAAACATTAGGCTTTCCTATATACGACTGCTAAATGTCATGATTAGCATTGTTATAAAGCACACTTTACTAAAATGCACAGCGTGCAGGATACACACACTAGAAATGTATTTCTTTTACAGCTTTGTAGAATTTTCTTTTTCCTTTGAAGTTTGTAAGCACTTTGTAGACACTCTCCTATTTTCTCCGTGTCCTATTTCGTTCAAAACACCATTTCACCTGTTTGCCTTCATATGAATGTTCACTGATTTAGCTGACAAGTTCTACAGTCAGGATACACCGATACTTACAGCACATACTAAGGGGCAGTGTAGGAAGGGGAGACAGTTCACAAAAAATAAATTATTTTACATGAATCTTATTTTTTGTTAAAACTAATTCTCTCATAACATGGTTTCAAGCAAAAATGACTCGAGAGGGAGGGGACAGAAGGGAAAACACAGCTCCAAATCCCAAACAGAAGTATTTTCAGTACTAAGAGAAACAGAACTATCATTAGGAGTTTCTACACACGGAAGCCTGGAAAGCAGAATGAAGGGAAGTGCCCAAAGGGAGCAGAAGGAGCCCGGGTGCCGACCCCAGGGAACAGCGTGTTCTGGGCAGCCTCACAGCAACGAGCAGAATTGTCACTGCACTCTTCAAACCTACTCATACGGGTTTTTCACAAGTGCTTCTCGCTACCAGCTTTGCTCTGAAACAAGGTTCACAAAACGGTGAAAATTTCAAAGAAAATGCGGATTTAAAACATGAAGTCCATCTCCATGATACAATGTTTTCTTACTGGCGTGTTAGGACCAGCTCGTGATCCCCCTTCCTCCCCCCACTCTCCACCCTTGTTGCACAAAGACATCCCCAAAGCATTCAATGGATTACCTAATGGTTTCTTTAAATTGGGTAAAACTTGTAATACAGGATTAGTAACTCTTGGCTAATTAACAATGTCCTTCCTTATGGCTTACCAGATCCAACAAGCCAGGCCTGGTGTTTACGGCATCTGGACAGAATGTGTCTGGGTGTTCTTGAGTAGTTCTCTGTGGTATTTGTACCTATATTCGTTAATCAGTTTTACAGCATGTAGCAGCATTGCTGTAATGTCATAAAAACTTCTAAGTAGCGCCTTATTTCTAAATCAAATGCAAGATTTATGTTTTGCATTAGGTTTTCATAGGAAACGAGAAAGAAAACTGAAAAAAAAACGCAGTATTGGTATTGTATTTGAGTGCAGCCTTCTGCATAGCTGGCATTCCGGCAGGCTCAGGGCTTTGTGCTGTGACACGCGCCCTGCATTCCCGTGTCACGCTCCGCACGGGCCGGGTGACAGAACTAAGTGGCGCTCGTGCAGGATTCCCATTGCGGCTCTGCACATTTTAACCTTCTCTTACCCCCATGTCACTGCCTTGGACCTCACGGCTCGCTGCGACATCGCTGATGGTGCCAGGCTCCAACGTCGCGATTCAGGGCCACTTGGCCAACCCTTTCCCTTTTCTTGTTCCCATATTCCTGGCAACATTTCCATGGCTTTAGAATACCACTTGTCATTGCCATTCCTATCGCTGGTAAAGATACTGCATCACTGGCCACATGCTGCCCAGTAAATGTTCTAAATTCAATGATAACTCATTATTTCAGAACTTGATTTGTGTCCTCATGAACAGGCCACGCATCCATACATGCACAAGTAGAGCTCTGCTCCCTAAATCACATATAATGATGCTAATGATGTAGCCCTTTAACGCACTGTTAACATTAAATTCCCACACGCTGAGAGATGAAGCTGGGGAGATTACAAGTGTGGATTGTGTTATCATTTCCATTTTATGGCTTGAGAAATTGAAAAGGGAGATGACACAACTTCCTCAAGGCTGCAGTGACAGAGGCTGAATTAGAATCCATCACTTCGCAGCTTCCACTTACGGGCTCCCAGATAACAGGGCTTCCCAAGAGCCGTCCGACGGTTACAACAGTCCCTCTGTATCTGATGGCACCGACGAGATAAGTTAATGGGTTCATTTCAAGCGTGTGCTGCTGGTCAAGATCCTGCACATAATTTGATCATGTTCTTAAATTTACAGGTGTCAACAGCGCTAGTAAAATTAGTCCTGTAGGAAACACTGTGCTGGGGGATCTTTGCTGATTTTGTGGTATTTAAAAACTCCATGAAGAGATGACACAGGTATTTCTTCCTCTTAAGTCTTGGCTCAATGTCCTCAATGCCATTTTACCCAAAGGCTCAGTCCATCACTATAGCAACCTTTAACCCAAGCTATCCTATAGTGTCCTTTCTAGTATCTTTACAGCAAGGAAATCTTATGGGGTCTGAGAATTGTATTGTTTCTGTTTTTTACTACATTTATTATTTTATTGCTTTAAAGCTACTTGAACAGTCTGTTAGCTTGAGTTTATTCTACATTGGTATTAAATATATGTCAAAATGCTGCCTCAGCATCAAGGAATTGAGTGACGCTGGCCTAGGGAAAACTGAAATCTTGGAAGTTTGAAGTATCATAAGGAAAAACTCAAAATGAACCTGTTCCATTTCCCATATAAGCAGAGATGGGAGGTAAAAGAAGGATGGTGTAGGATAGTAGAAAAATATCCATAAGAGATCATGTCATTTCTAAGTCTTGGTAATGATGCAACCATACTTCTGCAAACTAAAAAGACATGAGCTTAAAGAGGCTATAAAAGGAGGCTGAAACCATCCGCGCTCGCAAATCATTTCTCGTAGTTTCACCTGCCATTTAAGGAAGTCCTGCACTAAATCCTCCAGCATGATTTATAACAGACTTGAATGCACTCCAGAATGTGTATGAGTCATGGCTCATTTCACTTGTAGAAATGTTAGAAGTTATTAAGGTATATTACAATAAGCAGCTTTGGTAAGTGAATTGTTGATCCTTTGGAAGAAGTTTGCAATGAGGTAATGCAGTAATGGTTTGTGCTATTAATCATACATTTTTTCTGGTGATGCAGCCACACAGCAGCAGGTTTATTTCTTATTTATGAGTTTCTCTAAAAGGCAAAATTTGTGCCTTGCTAATATACATTGGAGTCTTGCAAAAGTAAATCAAGGCACTTCAGCACCAGAAGGAAAAGCCTGGCCTTTACAGCACTGTCGAGAGCAGAGTTTGCATGCTATTATGGAAACAGAAGAGAATAGGTGGAAGAGCCAGTAAAACATTTCACAATGTCCACACCCTGACCTATAAAGGTTTCTAGAGTTTTGCTGGGAGATGCCAGCTCCCGCAGATGAATCATTCGGTAAAGACAGGGATCTATAAACAGAGGGCGAGTGAAGAGCCGGGCTGGGGCGGCAGGAGCATCCCCACCGTTCGCTCCAGAAGCTTCCTGAAATCAGGAGCAATTTGGGGCCCGTCTCTGGGTCACCTCCTCCTATTCCTTCTGCAGGGTAAAATTCTGCAGGTGGCTCTTTTGAAGTTGTATTCTTAAGGCATTTTTAATTCCATGACTGTATTAAAATGACCTACTTGAGCCATACATCAAGGGGTTTGCATCAACTAATTGTCTGTAGAAATGTTACACTAGACGCAAGTATCAATGGATTTATAATTGAGTTTTGGACTCTCCTTATTAAAGAAACTCATAGATGATAAAGTACCAGACATGACCTATGGCTGCGAGGGTTCATTGCTGCTGCTTCTTAACGTATTAAATTGCCTTTTAAAAGCTTGAATATGCATCAGGAGCTTAGAGGCATAAAATCATAACATCAGCTGTGGTAAAGAGAGTTTCAATAACTATCTGGACTGCAGGGGTACATTTTTTTGCTTTGCAATATGCTAAGGACAAGCCAAAAGGAGTTATTTTGATAGGCTATTATTGGGCTCGAGCGAGAGCAACAAAAACGAGGAATGTAATTTGAGAAGAGTAAAATTTATTTCAAAGGAGTCATTATTTGGGACAGGCAGGGAAAAGATGATGGAAACGAGCTGGCTGCAACGTTGCACCGAGCACAGGCCCGTGGCGCTGACCAGAGAGACGTGGGAATGATACAGCACTTCTTTCTTCAGAAAATAAATAGAAGTTAACAGTCCGGTACTTTTAAAGAAAGAATACTAGCTTTGGGCTCAAATGTATGCTTTTTGAATCATTCCTATAAGAAATGAAAGCATAAAGCTCATAAAACAGACTGGAAGAGAAAGCAACTCCTGCTAGTGCAATTTCAGTGGAATAAATGTGTGATACTGCTGCGAGTGCACAGAAAATTGTGATTATAAAGCTGCCCATGCAGAAAGGAAGAAAAGCATCACCTCCTTCCTTCCCTTTCTAAACACAATCCTCAGGCAACTGACTAACCCGTGAACCCACTTCGGCGCCCGGGCTCCGTTTCCAATTGCTCCGTCAATCCCAGCACAGAGGAGTCTCAAAGCAGTTTCCAAGACACTCCGCGAATGCTGCTCTTGGGCTCCAGATACATCACTACCATGCAGGAAAAAAGCAACAGACCTAAAATCTCTCCATTAATCTCTAAGGATTTTGTTATCTAAAAGTTAAGACACTTGAGCATCAATCCTAAAGCAAGGAGCAACATTTGAAAGGAAAAGGCCTTTCCTGTCCCTACAAATACAGCTCTCAAGGTGCAAAGATAGGTAATACCTGTTGCTTTTGCTTATAAAGTCACTGTCACACACCCACCAGACTCTCTGTAATTACAGCCTGTGACTGTGCACATAAATACTACTTTAAACATTTGGCCACAAGAGCTATGCAAAATTTTTTTTTCTTTGGGATATAGGACCAGAGAAGTGGGTAATATATGAAATTTCATTATGTAATATGTGAATTTCATTAACCACACTCAAGTTTCAGCATGGATTTTGTAGCTGTCATAAATAATATGCAAATCTGCATACGTAGCTGCTTTAAGAAGGCATGTGGTGGCCTCTAGTGACGAATGCACATATACACAACGTGTTTCTGTTCTAAATGGCCTGGAATCAGATGCTTAAGCATTACCACAGAACCCACTACTTTTGCTACCTGTGTCTTCTTTGATATATAAGCCACATATTCCCTTTTTGAAAAGCTCTCCAAATATTGGCAATTTTGCTGTTACATCTGGGAAAAACGTAAGATTCTTCAGTTTACTGGTTTGCTCAGCTCGCCAACATCTCGGTTGCACATAATTTTTACAGGATAAAAATCTGCCTGGTAATCTTCCAGATTATACTAAAGCTGATATTTATGATACTTTTAGGGCTGGAAAAAAGAGCAGGTTCATTTGTACGGCCTGGAGCTGTTATTGTTGGCCCCGGAATCCGAATCTATTTGAAGAGAGCAGCAAAGGCAGCTCCTGACTTTCACTGGCAACCTGTGGCTAGGGAAGGCTGTGCCCAAGCCACCGTCACGTGCGTCACCCCGAGCCCTGGCACACAGTTTAAAGAAATGTTCCAATTTACCTCTCCGGCCAAAGCTCGCAGCAGCAAAGACATTAAGGCGAACTGCCTTGACAATGAAGATAGATTTTCTTTGGATGAAAGACAAAAGGGAGACGGAAGTTAGGAAAATATCCGTGTATATAAGCAACACCGTGCAAGACCTTGCACTGGAAATGCTCATGGGTTAAGTGCAGCCAGCTGAGCCAAGGGCAAGAGCTGGTTTGTTCTTCTCTGCTCATGGTTCTTTGTGTAGCTTGGAAAAGCACCTTCCACTGCTCCTGGGGAAGAAGCTGCATTTTCTCCAGTGACAAACCATTTTCCTTCCAGAGAACCCCAATCGGTCATACAGTTCCCATTCCATGGCTCCCAGATAAGAGAGATCACAACAAGACGCAGCCTCACACTGGCGCAAAGGGAGAGATTTTCCCGTGCTCGAGGAATTCCGCGCGCTTTCCCCTCCGGATCTCCGCACGCAGACACCTCGGCGCTGCTTCGAGACACGGGCACAGGAGGGTGCAGCATTTGTACTAACAAATGGCTGGAACATGGTTTGTTTTCAGGGTGGAGATTGTCCTAGGTATTCTTTTTTATTCATCCCACAATGCAAATATTTAATGGAAAATATTTGGGGAAAAAAAAAGAAGAGGTATTTAAAACTGTGTGTTTTTATAACCTTTATCTTTTTACTAAACTTGCTGTACATACATCAATAATTTAGAGAGTTGTCCATTTTCCATGTGTCTTCACAGCAGCTGCCTCCTGGCTTCGTCGGTGAAAAGCAGCCTTAGAACAACAAAACACAGTCACAAACAGGCATCCTGCAGCGCATCACCACGGAGTCCTAGGACAGACTCTGCAGGCTACAGTCGTATCGCTCCGACTCCCAAATTAGGACTAAAACACAGGTGAGGCCAAAGGAAAAGTGCTGAGTTAGAGCTCGAGTTGCACAAGGGCAGAGCCGGGTGTGCCTGTCCTCCCTGCGCTCCCGAGCGACGGTGACGCACGCGGAACGGCACCACACGTTATCCCAACACCGCTCTCCTTATCTCCACTGCCCTCTACTCTGCATTAAACTGCCGTGGCACCGCTGAGCCTTCCTGAAATAAATAGTTAAGGTGGCTCCGAATGGTTTATTTCTGCAGCACCCAGTTAAGCCTGTAGCTCGCTGGAGGGAAATGCTCTGCCTGTATCTACAGACTGTCCTGTACAGTATTTTTAAAGTTCCTTAACAGCTGTTTAAAATATTTGCTGTTATAACCATTAGTCCACAGGTTTGGACACAGACACCCATGCCGATTTATCTTTATCTTTCAAATATGTGAAATTTAGCATTAATTTAGCAACATATGCTTTTTGGATTTTTCTTTTTTGATATTTAAATCATGAAGCTTATCCATTTGGGCATGGGATAGCTGCAAATATAAAGGCTGAGAATTAGGCCCAAAGAAGCCAATCTAGAGCTTTGCTGACATCTGTTACGTAACAAAGCAAAATGTTAAATAAGTGACAGGGAATTAGGGCCAGACATGTAGGAATTCAAAGACATAGATAAGAGAAGGAACTTCAGCTGCATCTCTTACGGCTTTTCCCTACCAGCTCTATTGATTCTTACTCAGTCTGAGTATTTTTGATAAATATAAGGCCTGCCTTGAGTTCCTATAGCTACAATCCAAATAACCTGGCTGGTGTACTTTGGTTTTAAGTGTCATAAATGTTTTTCTGTCATTTACACTTAGCAGTCCCACCTCAGGAAGTTCAAGGTCCACAGGCAATTCATGCAGATGAACAGCATCCTCCTGCAAAGACTGTTGTGCCCTGCCCACCGATCCCTTTGCTCTGGACCACTCGTTTTGGGAACAGCTGAACACGTCGCTTTAGCACTTTGCCCTGTCCCGGTGCTATTCAGAATAATCTGTAGGCAACTATTCCAAAGCAGATAGCATCAGGGGCTTTGGAAACGTAGCCGTGCTGGTTTCCTCATGCTCCAGGCTTTGGGGTTCTCAGAAATCCGAAGCTCCCGCCAAGACAGGCCCCACAGTGCAGAGTTTCTTGCCGCGAGGTCTGGAAGCAGGATGCAGAGCAGCTCCTTCCACCAGCACAAACCACCTGTGTCAACTGTTCTAGCCGAGTATCTCCACATGAATAATTCACTACCGTGCTGTAGGTGCAGCGCCCCAGGGAGCAGCACCCGCCGCGTGCTCCAGCGCAGCTCCCCCGCGGTACCGGGGATCCGCAGCAATCCGCGTCTTCCCTTGCTTCCCGTTTTCTCCATTAGGATCTTGCGACTATACACGATCCTCAGCTCGGGAATACGGGCACTACTAGCAACAGGATTGTCAGTTTTTCAGCCACACTGAGCAAAGGCAGCAGGTTGCAGCTCCTGAACGTACCCTCTCGCTTCCCAGCGAACACCCCAAGTGAAAGGACCTCTCCACAGGCAACTCCAACTCCACAGATGGTTCCCAGAGGGGAGGCCCTGCAGGAAAGCCCAGGTTTCATCCTCCTGAATCCCCCGGTGTGACAGTTCATGACAGTGGCTTCAGCAGAGCATCTACTCACTGCAGAAAGCTGCTTTCGGATGCAGAGGCCAGGTGAGCTCCAAGATGTCCAACCCGTGCATATAAATTCTAACTGCTTTGTCCGAAGCAATGCCATTTCTGTTTAATTTCAGCTGGTCCAAGAGACTGTTGGCCCTGCAAGGGTTTCTGACATTAAGTGATGGGATATTCAGTGCAGGTTCCCTGCAACATCCACTTCCTCACCACAGTACGAGCAGCATTCTGGGCTTCCTGTAACACCAATGTGGTGCTTACAAATGCCATCTTTCTAATAATTTAGAAGGTCCTAGACTGTGCTGAGCACCAGAGTACTGCTTGCTCAACAGAAATATGTACTTGCTTTTACACATATATATTTTAAGTCCTTTGTCCATCCTCATTTTAAATTCAGAAATTGCACATGGGAGTAGGAATCTAGATGCTCATTCAAAAGCCCCATGCAAGCTACAGCTGCAGGTGAACACTTATAAATCATTCAGTTGCTCCTTTGTGTTTTACGCTCTATTCAGAAGAACCGCAAGGAAAGCCAAGTGCCTGAGGAGTTTTCTCCAAGGCAGCTGCAAACCCCCTGACATCCCACAGGCCGTGGGGGCAATATCCTGCACCTTGTTTGTGCTGACACCAGCTACACCGTGCGTCAACAGAGGTGGGGTTTCCACCTGCTGCGCTTCCTCCTTGGGACACGGTATAAAGGTTGACAGAGCAGACGTTGCTCTTCACTTGGGCTCTCCTTCGCTTGTGCAGACGCCGCTGCTTCATCTGAGGCAAAGCACAACACCACAAATGGCATTTTCCAACCAGAGCTTCCAGTGGGCCTCGGGCTCCCATTCCCATGCTCCTGCACCCAGCGTCAGTGGTTTGACTGTCAGGAAAACGGCCATCCAAAAATTCCAAGCCCCCAGCGTCTACGGGGGAGCCGGCGGCTACGGGACCCGCATATCCTCCAGCACCAACTATGGCCAAGGCTTTGGGGGAAGATTCAACAACAGCTTCCAGCTGAGCGTTACCGGTAACGAGGACCTGCTCAGCGGCAACGAGAAAGCGACCATGCAAAACCTCAACGACCGCCTGGCTTCCTACCTGGAGAAGGTGCGAGCCCTGGAAAAGGCCAACTCCCACATCGAGCAGCAGATCAAGGAGTACTACGAGAAGAACTCCTCGGCCGTGAGCCGCGACCACAGCCCGTACTTCACAATCATCGAAGAGCTCCGAACGAAGGTAAGAAACCATACCATCATCCAGAAACACAGGAATCTCAAAAATTTGGGGTAAAAAAAGATAATAATCTACTTGCATAAAATGTAATTTTCAAATTGTAATTGTCTCACTTAAGACATAACAGATTTTCAGACTTTTACATTTTTGGCAGCTAGGGGAGAGGAGATATAATCTGCAATTACTTAATCTGAATTTCCACTTTAGAGCCTGAGAGGAGAAATGGACTGAGAACATTAAAATCCCAAGCTCTCTTTTCCATTGTATAATTTCCTCCCATTTGCCTGAATACTTTAAACTGACTGTATTATTTTATATAGATATTATATCTTTGTGTAGAAGGTGATTTGCTTTTTTTCCAGCATTAAATGAAAATGTTTCCCAGTTCCAAATATAATGTTCCATCTCTCAAAGAGCTCTGACTGCAAATACCCAGCAAGTGATCATGGTTTATAATCTTATCTGAAAAGGCAGATGAGGGAGGAAGTAGTTTTATGGCTATGACGGTGATCAGATGAGGATATGTCTTTATTTACTGTGAATTACAGGCTAGACTTTGTCCTGCACGTACGATAAATCTGGCCCAAAGCCAAAATCCAGAGACTTTATACGGGGAAAAGCGGCCATTTTTTCCACACGTTCGGAACTGGAGACTACCAAATGCCCAAAAAAGCAACCAACCCCTGCTTGAAACAATAAATTACCATTAGAATAAATAATGTATTTTCACAGCAGTTTATAAGCGTGAAATAATCTTATCTTCTATAACTGTTAAGAATCTATTGGCTTTGTGTGCTGTTCTACCACCATTCATCCCTTTAACCATTCTTTTCCAGATTGGCGCTGCGCAGCTGGAAAATGCAAGGCTTGTCCTGCAGATTGACAATGCCAAACTGGCTGCTGACGATTTCAGAATTAAGTAAGTTCCATTTTCATTCCACACATTCTTTTTCATGCCCTTGTTATTCCGGAAAGCCTCCAGACACCCAGTTTCATTTTTCAAGGCAGGAAAAATAAATTTTCTATACGAGCTAAAATCCCTTTTACAGGGCAGAATTAAACAGCGACACAGAATAGGTGCACTGTGCAAATGGCACTTGCTCCATTCTCTTGAAAGATCCTACATGCTACTTAACCTAGGCAAAACTTGTACTTTGTCCTGGAAATTAACTCTTGAAATCAAACTTGGAGGCAAAGCTTTTCTAAAGAATAGGCGGTAAAAGGAAACTCTGAGGACAAAGGCTGTGGTCGCTCTTCATTCCAACATTTCTTAAACTGGGTCGTTTTGCTGATGACAAAGCAAGCCTTATTTTACAGGTTTGAGAATGAACACTTGCTCTTGCAAAGCGTGCAGAGCGACATTAATGGACTGCTCCGAGTCCGGGATGACTTGACCTTGACCAAGGCTGATCTGGAGTCACAGATCGAAGGTGTGAATGAAGAAATCCTCTTTCTTAAGAAGAGCCACGAGGAGGTGAGAGCAGCAGAACACCACCACAGAAATGTATAAATTCAGCTCCACCAGGAATAATGAAATTTTCATGGTTCATCTGAAAGAATATGATGCTTAGGGTGAGATTCAGCTCAAGACTCACACAAGAAAATGCAGCTTCCTGGGTGAATGCTACGTGCTGTTTGGTGTCTGAGCTCTAGGATCTGCTCGAGGGCTAAGCTCAAGCTGAATCACTCCATTACATTTGTAATTTCGGAGCCCTACAAAGGTTAATTGACCACTACTCCTTCCCTCTTCTCAGATAAAGACACAAACAGCTTCAGAATTTAAGGAGTAAAGGTTTTCCTTAGGAATAATCTGTGTTTTATGAGTTGTTACCCAAAAGCATACCAATGGGAACCATGACATCTATAACCATTTTGTAGATCGAGCTCTGAGGAAATAATCTTTCTATTATATGTTTATCTATTATCTAAAATTTCTTGCCTCAAAATAAGTAATATTTTCTAACATAAGATGCAATATGCAATATTTACAAGGGGATTGGGTTATCTTACCCCTAGGTGCTATTTAATAATTAAGAACTATTTCTACCTCTGTGGACTTTGAATTTCCAATATTCAGGCCTAAAAGTTCACTTGAACTGACATTAATACAATTTGTGCTGTTGCAGGAAGTTTACAGCCTGCACAAGCAGGTGGGTGGCTCCGTTAACGTAGAGGTGGATGCTGCTCCAGGTATCAATCTTGCCAGTATCATGGAAAAGATGAGACTGCAATATGAAGAAATGGCAGAAAAGAACCGCGAAGAAGCCAAGCAACGGTTTGAAAAACAGGTAACGCTCTGGAACCTAAACCAGCAGGATTCTCTAGCGTGTTTAGTGCTGGGTTACAGACCTGGGGCTCTTTGTATTTCAGACAGAACAGCTGACCCAGGAAGTCGCTATCAATATTGAGCAGCTGCAAAGCCAAAGGACAGAGATCACAGAACGGAGACAGATCATTCAGGGCCTGGAGCTGGAATTACAATCCCACCTTAACATGGTAAATCACCAGCAATACTTAACATGAGGAAATGTGCTTAGTGGGTAATTACACAGATAAATATAGAAACTACGAGTTTTTTGCATCTACATGCAATTTTGACATCAAGATGCATCCCCTTGAATAGTGCATCTAACACCTTTTAAAACCGATTTTTTTTGGTTTTAAAATGGATTTTTTCCCCGGCTGCAGAAGAAGTCTCTAGAAGACACCCTGGCTGACACCGAGGCCCGCTACAGCCAGCAGCTGGCGCAGATCCAGGGCGCCGTGGCCAGGCTGGAGGCGCAGCTGCGGCAGCTCCGCGCGGACATGGCGGGGCAGAGCAGCGAGTACGCGGCGCTGCTGGACGTCAAGACGCGCCTGGAGATGGAGATCGCCACGTACCGACGGCTGCTGGAGGGAGACGACGGCGGGTAGGGACCCCAGCGCCACCCACAGTCCCTATGACAGCTTTGCCTTCATATAAATAATATTTCATATCTTTTACTGATTTCATACTCTCAATGTCTAATTTGCACAGGGATTTCCAATTGGATATAGCTGCAGAAGAAGCTGAAAAAGGTAATGTCACTTGAACTTCCATGGTTTTGATGGCTTCTTTTGAAGTGTTACGGAATTAATTAGTCTGGCATGAAACAAGCAACACAGTTTCACAGGAAATACTCAATAACTGAAATTTTATGCCAAGAAAAGATGCTTTATGTATAGAACTCAGGTGCCCATATCAAAACCCTAGGCTCCTTAGCGAGCTAACGGAATTACCGAATTACTCTCCAGAGGCTTCAGAAGCACCTGCTCCTTTCCACTGACCGCACAGGTTCCTAAACACAGCATGTAATTTTAAAATATCCCTTTCCATGTAAGAATATTTCTAGCTTTTAGATCTACCAAGTTGGTGCTAAACTGAAGCCGTCGGGTCGGTCAGAGGGACGGGAGGGTTATTCGGTGATAATATTCTGCCAATAGACATTGCTTTTAGCTAATTCACTGTCGAATTTTATTAACAGAATCAAGCAAAATCAAGAAGATCAAGACAATTGTGGAGGAGGTGGTTGACGGCAAGGTCGTCTCCTCTCAGGTCAGGGAGATCGAAGAGAAGATGTAACAGAAATCAGCATTTTTATAGATGTATTATTTCCAAGATAGATAAAAATTGTACCGTAAGTTTGAAATAAGTGAAATTTTGAAATATTGAGGCAACGTTTACTAGCATTTTTCAGAAACTCAAGGCAAGAAACTGGTGCAAGTCATCCAATGATTTTGCTCATGTGCTTTTATAAGCTCTAACAGTAGTTGACTCTTCTGAAAGCACCATGAGAACTTTCTCTTCATTTCTTCAGATCATTCATTTCAGTGCCTGGTTCATTAAGTTTTTCTCAGGCTTTCAATATATTCATAGATGAAAACTGTAAGTCTAAACTGCAATCCAAGGTGCAGTTTAACACACAGTAGTAGATATGTTGTTAGAAATATTTTTAAATATTCAGTGCATCTTTGCTGAAGTTGAACTATCATTCAAATGCAATGCAGCTCCACTTCAGTAAAAACTTTTCTAATAAATCACAATTGTCTATTTGGATCATCATATTAAAACATAAAATTTAAGAAGTCATTTTATTCTTTCGCATTCTCTTTGATTTTTTTATCACCAGGGACTAACCAAGAAAGGTATTTTATTGGTAAGAATACATTTTGCCTATTAAACCTCTCTCAATTAGTAACTGCATGTAACCTTCCCTGCAAAACCCGTGCCCTTCCAGACCTTCAGCGCAAGGAGTCGACATTTTCCTCCTGACAACAGAAACACAAAAACTCTCCCCTTTGAAATGTCATTTATCCACTCTGTTATTTACCGCACATAAACAGCTACCAAATAAAATAACCATTAGCTTTCATAGTAACGAGTCATTGCTTCCAAGTGATCAATACGTGCCTATATAAATATTTGCTCAAATCTTTGACCTACCACTCATAAAACATTTCTGCCAGAAAAAACCACCCATGCTCATGGATGTAGATAAATTACAACCGTATTCCACGCCTTACAGATATGACCCCATGCCTGAGGGCTTAGGACAGAAGATAAAATTACAAAGGTCAGTACAATCATTTATATTTTATGATTTCACATTAATGATGAATATTCTTCATGCACCTTTGCTGAGCACTTTCTTGCTTCCTAACAAGTACCCCAACAGTGCTCCTCTGGCAAAGCTTCAGTAAAATGTGTCACTGAAGTATTACAAGGAGAAATCCTTTTCGACATGCACACAGGAAGTTTGCTAGGAAAGGGATCGCGCTACAGCCTCAGGCAAACTTCTACAATAACAACCCCAAATTGAGAAGGGGGTGCATAGGTAATGACAAAAAAAATTATTTAGGATGGATTTAAATGTGAAAAGAAATTTCTGTGCACTGTTGCACATGGTGAAGCATTATTGTGATGTCTTAGCTCTACTCCACCCATCCTCCCTCGTACAGCAAATACCTGGAGGGCATTTGATTTCCACCCCCATGGACAATTGAAATTTGCACATATCATTTAATTTGGTAAGACGATACTACACTGCCTCCTCCTGTCCCCTCTGCCCCCCTCCAAAAAAAAAAAACCAGAGAGAGAAAAAAGCAATTAAAGAATCTGCTGGGAGGCGTGAAGTGCTCCAGAAACACCCCCATTCCCTATAAAGCGGCCAACCCGCCCGGGGATGCGCCCGAGCGCCCGGCAGAGCAGGGCACGGAGCACCATGGCCCTCTCCATGCGCACAAGTGGGGCGTCCCGGCAGTCCTCTCCTCGGAGCGGCTTCGGCGCCGGATCCATGAGGATGTCTAGCGCCAGCAGCGGAGGCGGCTTTGGGGGAAGCGGCTTTGGCTTCGGCGGAGGGGCTGCCGGGGGGGTCGGCGGCGGCCCTC